ACGTACATAAAGCATTACAGTCAGAGAGAGCCAGGGCCTGGTCATGAAGAGTAAAAACTGCCGAAGTGGAGACAGATATGTTTCCTCTCACGTAAAACTGAGCCTGATGGCTATCTATGTGACCGTGCACATTTTATGACTGCATTAAAAAACCCACTCACTAAAACAGAAGAGTGCCAGACCATTAATAATAGGCATAAAAATTTGAAAATATATTGTGCTATCTGCATAGTGTAATATCTGTGTAGTGCAATGAAGCGCAGATGTGTTGGTAGATTCATGTTCAGACGAAAAAGTGAAAAAAAATAGAAGACTAGAAGAATAGCGGGAAGAATATTTTCTCAAAGCACTGAGATAAAATGTCTTGAAATAATTGCAAGACCTGTAATTGAGAGTAAGTTTACCACCTCTAGGCTTACTGACCACTCTGTATATGAACTATTATAACCCTTTCTCTACATTATAGCTCCAGTGGTGTAGCAAGACAATAGTTTAGATATATAACATCCTGGCATCCAGACATGTGTATGATTTGGATTACAAAATTTTGTCTACATTTTGGAAAATGGCTGGCAAGGTTGCATGGGTTTTAGCACTGTTGCCTTGCAGAAAGAAGCTCTTGGGTTTAAATCTTGGCCATGGATTTTGTATGTCTCTCCAGGTACCCCGGCTTCCTTCAACATGACTATCAGGTTGATTAGGGACTAAATGGGGTGGGTTTCAGCATCTGTGTGTGTGTGTGTGTGGGGGGGGGGTATCTCTATGTTGAACGGAAACTATGGACTAGTGCGCTATCTAGGATGAACCCCTCCTTTCACCCAATGACTGCTAGGTCCTGGGAACCTGTGACCCAGATGGAAAGGCTGTGAAGATGCGAAAATTAAGTAAAAACAGTGAAGGAAAATCTATTTTACTCATAAAGCATTGATATTTTACTTCCATATGTTTAGTTTATCTTTGAATATTGGAAAGGTAAATAATGAAGCCTGTAATGGCAAAATCAACAACAAGAACATGAAATAAACATAATGGAATGAATTCAAAATATCACTACTTTAATCCCAATAGAGAATGTAAAACAGGAGCCTACACCACTTTCAGAAGCCTGAAAGAACTTTTTATTCCACATCATCCTCATTATGTGGTCAAGTTTTACATATTTTTATATTGTAAGAAGTGATACCCATTTCATGACGTTTCCACATTTAACCATTTTTGACAATTAAGCACTTCTTTTGGAAAACTGAACAAAGTGTGAAACCTCTCCCAACTGAAAAACACATTTTTGTTACATAGATATTAGCTTAAAATAGATCAGCTGCTGTCACTGTGCAGATTAGTTGCTATACTTTGAGCAGAAAGGATCCCCTTCTGCCTCGTGTCACTGCTGATTGGAGAAAGTGGACATGTGGTTTTACTGGGAGGGAAAGCCACATCCAAGGGAGGTGCTTTCTGGAGGGGCGGGTTATGTCAACTCCATTTTGACCTGTCTTGGCTACCTGTTTTTCCAGGGTGGGGAGGGGCTGCTGCTAAGACATCAGAATTCATGAAGATTATTCAGAAATGCATGAATCAAGCGAAAAACAACTTTGTGCATAATTTTGATAAAGGCACAGCTTTGCAAAATACAGCACCTAAAAGCTCAAAAAAGTAAAATTTGCATGATACAGTATAGAAAGGTTTCACAGCCAAAACAATGGGGGTCACTATTTCTAAGTTGTGGCTGAAACAGAAACTCTGTACTAGATCTAATAATATCATAAAAGATTCATCTCCATTTGAATGAGCTGTCCTTTATCCTACATATGTGAAACTAATTGAAAATAGGGCGGGCTATACCCATCCTGACTCGTACAACATGGGGACCTGCACTCTTCTGGCATGTATTTGCCTTTCTCTGAGTTTTAAATGTGCATGTGTGAACAAGAAAGATAGGGAGAAAGAAGGGGATAATTTTAAAATTGCTTTGGGGTGACAGAGTGGATTCTTGGGCAACATCTTGGCAGCTGAATGGCTGCATGGCTGGCTGGATCCAGCTGTACAGGTGAAGCTTTTAGTCTCCACCCCATCGTAATGGCAGGAATCATTCAGATTCCCCTTGTAATTATTGATAAGCTTTCAAGCTTTTCAGTTCTTGTTTGTTTTTTGTTTTTTTGCTTTTTTCCCACCATGGACTCAAGTACGACTGGTGTAACAATAGGCAATATAGTTCTAATATCCTCTCAGTTCAATATTGTAGCAAATGTAGTAAATGTATCAATTTTAGAGTCATCACTATTTGTAAATGAACGCTGACCTTAATCAACAAGAAATAAGTAGCAAAAAAAGTTTTGTGGCAAAAGTAAACCAGAAATGCCCCATGAAACCTGGTTATTGGCTCTTTATATATTCAAAAAGTTAAATTGAGGCCAAATCCTATGAATTTACATGCTAAGAATTAATTCTTCAGTTTCATGTGAATACTTAGTTTATCTGCTAAACTTTTTCATCATATCTAAGATCGTTCAATTTCTGTCATTTTTCTCCCTCTGTATCTTTCCATACTCTTCCCGTTTCATCTAAAATATTTGGAACAAGCTGACATCAATGTGTATGTGGGATCCTACCCTGCCTAAATCTGCTGAAACCCAGGGCAGATTAGCTCTCAGTCATGCAGATCACAATCACCAGAGCAAATAATTTGTCTGTGTCCCTAGATTGCTTGCTGCGCTTTGGGGTATCTTTGTCAAGCATCAGGTGTTGAAACATGTTTGACTTCTCACTGGTTCTGTGCTTTTTCCGCTTCCTTTCTGTGCTTGATTCTGCCAGATGAAAGAGTGTTCTTAAATGGATCTGCAATACTCGCCTTTCCGATAGAAGGACTGGGTTTAAATGCTCCTCTTGTATCATAAAACACCAAAAAAGAGCTACCTCTTATCTGTAAATGGTTATAGAGACTATATTTCAAACCGAAAAGAGACAGAGGAATTGAATGCTCCATTTTACATGATTGAATCTAATTAATAGAAACATATCAGTTTGTCCATGTAGATTAGGTGTTGATATACAGTACCTTTTATGTATAGCTGGTCTGTAGCCACAGTTATTCAATCAAAGTGCTTAATATTTGTGTGGGAAGTCTGGGTAAAACTGTACTGTCCGTCTTTATGAATAGTAAAAAGAGCTTATGAATTTGACGTTACTTTCTTGACTGGTTGAGTTCAGATTAAAGTGAAATGACCGCTTGTATGACAGAGTTCCTGCTAGAGATCAGCCTGTCAGTTCCGCTCTTCAACAAGGGTTATTTTTTAATGGATTGTAACATTTTAGGTGTATAATTGCGATAGTTGTTAAAACTGGAGAAAAAAAAGACACTATTTTTCTCTCTCTGGAATGTGTTTGTACTTTTCTATCTTACAGCTTAACTTATAAGACTGTTCTTTTTTTTATGATTTTTGTCTTGTCTATCTGTAAACTTTCTTCTCTCTACTTGTTTTGTTATTGTCACATCTAAAAGGTACCCAATGTGGGACAATAAAGGTATTTCTACTTTTATTCCAAACATTTTGCAGCAGATTACAAGAATGTGACTGGACGTTTTTACTGTCTCCCACATACTGGCACACACATTTCATCCCTGACAATTAATGTATCACATTTATCCGCTAATTATGATTACTGGCATTATATCTGTGGCCTCCCTAGGAGTTTACCACCAACTGCACTAAAGTGTGAATGCTCCCTTTGTTTGGAGAAACACACAGTAAGCAATGGATTCTCAACCACACACTTTTTATTTACACAGCTTTATCAGGATATGGCTAGCTACAGTAAAAGGAGTGATACAGTCAGTCTCACCAAACCATTAATAGTGATTTCTTTTATAAATGGCTCACGGGCAGTGAATCGATTTTACGTCGACTTTAGAATGAGACATGGATAGAATACAGAATATATATATATATATATATATATATATATATATATATATATATATATATATATATATATATATATATATATATATAGAATTATTGCATTGCCCCTCCCTCATCTGTTGCTGTGCACTGCCAATCAGTCGCTTGAAAACTCTTTTCCTTCATGTTGTCTTAAAGGAGTAGTGGATGATGTTCTTTTCTGGGTGGATCATCAAAATAAGTGGTCCTCCTAATTGTCAATCATTGTGGTGATATGATTACGTAAGGCCGTTCAACATGCTCGTCCCCATTTTCACTTACCGGTGGAGAGTTTAACATAGTGGAAAAATAGCTTCTTTTGGAAAGTAAGCTTGTATGAGCGATGCAAACAGCAACTTTTAAATAAAGTGTGTATGAGGAGAAATGGGCTTGTACATATGCATTTTTTTCTTAGAGTGGAGAGGGTGGGTTTTTCAAAACTTTGCAACAAATCCACCACAATACCTTTAGCTAGGGTGTTGGGAACAAGTTGACTGTTGAAGAAATTACATTTTCGTCACATATAAAACATTTTTTTTCCCCTGACGGAACATTTTCTCTTTTATAGGAAAGACAAAAGTGTTTATCCTGAATTTTAAAACATTCAGATCTAATGAGAGCTGTTTACTTTTACAAATCTCAAGTGCTCTACCATCTTTCCTTTCTTGCATCCTTTCTTGCATAGCACAATCTTTGGAGAACCATAAGAATGCTCACTCTGTCCTGTTTTGTATTGCAAATAAACATACATACAAGAGATCTTTTGTTAAGGAAGCAATCTTTTTCCTGCTTGCACCAGTAGCTAGCCATGCCCTACAATTTCAAATGTGTCATAATCCATACAGGATAGAGCCTTCTGCTTCAGAGATGTGATTCTTTGTTTTTTTCAATTGCCTTTCTCCAGTGAAAAGAATAGAGGGACTGATGGAGTTATACATATTTATTTAAAATTTTTTGATTTTTCTGCTTTGTAAAGATAATAAAAATAGTTTTATGAGTTATATTCTCATCTCCTCCTTGTAATATCACACAACTTTACTGTCTTTTATGTTTGTACTTTAAAAGGTTGGAGGTCACACCATGCTGCCAATTCGCTGGATGCCCCCTGAAAGCATCATGTATAGGAAGTTTACCACTGAAAGTGATGTTTGGAGTCTTGGAGTTGTTCTTTGGGAGATCTTCACCTATGGGAAACAACCCTGGTACCAGCTTTCCAATAATGAGGTACACAAAATACTAATTTTACTCTATGTATCAAGTATTAAATAGATTATTATATTCAGAACTATAGTGAGACTATAACGTGTTCAGTCCTGATGCTTTTAAACATAGTTGGATACACAATGTAGGTATAGATGTGTAGATTTTACCTTTTAGGCCCGTCATCTTAATAAGTGATGACTAACAAGATGTTGTACCCCCAAGGTGAGATGAAACAGCACCTCTGTAGAAGTATATCTAAATATTTCATTCGTTTTGTGGGGAAGTGTCTCATAGGTAAGATTTAATGAATATATTAGCCTGTGTCATCCTTGTACCTTTTACAAATACAAGCTACTGTACTCTGACACACTGTATTCTATATCATTAAATCATATGGCACTTGAAGAAAGGCATAATTAGGCAGAAGAACCTTCCTTTGTCCTTTCTAATTTGCACAACATGCTTTATCTAACAGTTGAACCATTTTGATCTGGTGAAAAGGACCAATTTAACAGCAAATCATGAATTCAATATATAGCTTCTCCATGCATGTTGTTATCACCACTGTCCACACATCTGTGGTGCTGAAAATGCATTCAATATAGTGGCTGTTTCACCTCAGGCTCTAATTATGTCCAGTTATGTGTCAGGAATTATGATGAGTTGAAAGAAAAATTAAATAAAAGGTGTCTTCTGTTCTTCTGTTCTGCAGTAGTCCATCTGTTTATGGTTTGTTGGAGAACGTCTACTGGAAAACTAATAGTGATTTGCTTTTCTTTTAATAAATTGACCACTGTAATATCCTCTTTGATAAAAGATAGCATTCATATATTTCAAAAAAATGGTTTAATGAATCTGTGATGTTCGAAAACATGATTTGGTTGACATTACTTATTGACATTTCTTTCACAAATAAGAAATATGACTTTGAATATTAGTTGTGATAGTTGATCCTAATGCCAGAAGCTTCCATATCATGTGGATGACTCCAAGTCATCTTAGGCGATTTGTCCTGATAATTTTTTTCATTTCACAGAGAAGTTTCTTTCTCCTCTCCTCTGCCTGCATTCATTCCACAAAGCGATCTTATCCTCCATCTATACACACTGCTGTTGTATATTGCAACTAACTTGAGACCTGAATGTCTTCAGAAAAATAAATCCATTCTACTTTCAGAATTCTCCATGGCAACAGCCATTAGCACATACAATATCCTGTTTTAAATAGGGTAGTCTGCACAGCCTTTGTAGCTGTTATCAATTGCGCAATTTTAGTAGGTCACCCGCAAAATGTCCACTAACTGCACATGCAATTTTTGATTGCAAAAGTATTTTCTCTCTCTTGATTTGCAATCTTCATAAATCAGGCAACAGATATGTTGTGGCATCTCCGTTTCTTAATATTCCTTTGTTTCTTCTCCTTAGGTGATAGAGTGTATAACTCAAGGCAGGGTGTTGCAGCGTCCGAGGACCTGCCCCAAGGAAGTATACGACCTGATGCTGGGCTGCTGGCAAAGAGAGCCACACATGAGACTCAACATTAAAGAAATCCACGGTCTGCTCCTCAACCTGGCCAAGGCCTCACCTGTTTACCTAGATATATTGGGCTGAACAAGAAAAGGATGAAACACAGTTTATGGTCTGTGTGTGTGTGTAAGTAGTGTGTGGGGATATATTTAAATGTAAATGTACATTTAAAGTTTTCATGCATGTGTACTGTATGTGAGCCAAGATGGGCATTGTAATACTTCAGAATGAAGTGTTTGATGCTTGTGTGCGCGTGTATGTCTAGGTATGTCTCTGTGTGTAGAAGGTGTAACTGTACAGGATCTGAACTCACTTTAAGGCAATCAAGAAATACTCCTTCATCTCCATCCTCTTTCCTAACGGGCAATTTTCTCACCTTTTGTGCAAACCGACTCATTCTTGCTTTTCACCAGGGAGATTTTCATGAAGAGCGATTTAACTTTGAAGCTTCCCTGCCCCCCTCTTGTTCAGATGCTTTAAACTCACTGGGGCTCGACTGATGAAAAAACAAACAAACAGATGAATGACACTTCATCAAATGACTTATCCTTTTGCTGCCTGTCAGACTACAGAACATGTTCAAACATCTGCTGAAGCTCAAGGCCGAGGAGTGGGAGAAATTTTTTTGAAAGCTCCAACCTTTGGTTGTAAATACGAGACTGATGGGACACTTTGGTGGAAGTGGCTCCGTGGTGCCGAGCCGTAAAGACACTGTGTTATCCTTTTTCACCCTCGGTTGTCTCCATCTCCCTCTCTAACATGAGGATTACCGTCAGCATTTAACCAGCAGGACTACACAAGCAATGATCGAGACATTGGTATGCATGTGGGAAATTGAGCATGACATAACTATGCTAGAAAGGAGAAGCAAACACAATCTGCTTCCCTGCCTGTCAGATTCAATTTAGAAGGTGTGTTAAAGAGATCATTTCTGGATGGCCGATTTTACTGATGCACAAAAGAATCGGTAACAACACAGCTGTAACTGACTACTGTGGTGACTAAATATTTTAGAGATTATACTAGGGTACTGACAAACATTGGTTTTTGTTGTGTGTTACATTTTTTTTCCCTCAGGCCTGACTTGTAATGTCATACAGAGCAGGGTAATATGATAACTGCTCCACCCCAAACCACCTAAGTGACAGATGCTCCACTTGTGATGTCAAGTACTTGTGTCGGAGGTCAATTGATTAATTTGTCCGCAGCTGTCTGACAATCGCAAAATCATGGTGTTGGGGGACGTTAAGGGTTGGTTGGTGGTGGATTGGCGGGTGTAAAGTCTGCTGAGGGAGACTGGGTTTTGAGGGGTCAGTCCCTGGTCAAACGTGTGGGTGGCTGCCTGCAGAAGGTGTGGTTCATCTGGTCAACCCCTATTAAATCGTCTAAGCTCTCAGCACTCCAACATTCTTAAAAACCGCATCTTGTAGGAGGAACACACCCACACATATCTATCATATACCTCCTCCCATCACCCCTCCATCCCCACACCCACTCACTGAAAGACACTCAAAACGGGCCGAGAAGGAAATTGAATTGTACATGTTTTATTATTTGAGCTGTGCAGTGCTTTAGCTGGGCCTCGTCCTCTGTAATGGTGTAATGTATATTTCATTACAGCTAATGGGCTCCATTAGCACAGTCTCCTCACAGACATTCAAGACTTATTGTTTTATGTCCGAGAAGAAGGGATGGAGGGATGGAAAGGTGAAGGAGAAGAAAACAGTTAGGCTCGCTGGATTTAGGAGTCACGACGGGGAGGGATTTGGGCCGATGTATTAACGTGTACCGGAAAGCTATTGAGATGAGTATAGAGGGGAAGCAAGTAAGCAAGAAGAAGGGGACTGGAGACAAAAAAAAGCAAAATGGAGGAAGGAGAGAGGTGAGGATCTCCTCTGGGAGAGAAGAAGTGTGAACATCCATTATTACTGTCGCCGGAAGATATTCGGTAAACCACAACTTCAGATTTATGCTTCACATTCCTACAGCTGCTTCAACCACAGACAGCACACACAACCGTACACTAAACTGTCGACCAGGGTTTCTGCAGGGTGTAAAAAAGTTAGCATAATTCCTACCTGTATTAATGTAATTAAAGGCATCATGATGTATTAAATGCTGTCAGATTTCCCACAGCATATCTTAAATTACAGTAGGTTTCGTCAAAATGTGAACCATCACTGATTATTTTTTTCTAGAAATTTAAGGATTGTTTTCTCTTATAAGATGTTTCATTTCATTGCACCATGATTTGTTGTGCTGACAATGATATAGGGCTACAACTAACAATTATTTTTTCAAATTGGTTAATCTGTTGATTATTTTTTCGATTAATCAATTAAATATCGGATAGCCAAACATTCTTTAAAGAAGATTTTTTAGTTAAACCAGATGAAACTAAAACTTTTCCACTTGAGGAGTTCTGGATAGAGCATATGACAGAGACATTTTTTTCTATTTTAAATGCAAAATGTTTATATATATTTTTTTTACAATTGTGGTATAATTACTGCTCTAAGTGGGTTGCTCTGTCCACTAGAGGCATCTTTTACAGTCTCTAAAGTCCAGTTACGATTAATCGATTACTAAATTAGTTGACGTTTATTTTATTTATCAATTGATCACGAATAATCCGATTAATTGTTTCAGCCCTACTGTAATAAAACTTCAAACCCCACAATGCAAAGAAGCCATAAGTCCCATGGAAGGAATTTGTCTTTAGATATTCCACCTTTCTTGGAAAACGCACTAGTTTTCTGTTAATGAAGTTCATCTAGTGGATTAAGATTTCGTATTTTGGTAATTTAAGGAAATAATTTTTTTGCACAGCATGATAAAGTCACAGGGCTAATTAATAGCCCATAAAAATTAACAAAACAAAACAAAAAAAGAAAGATATGTTACAACTTAAACCATTAAATAGGTTAGGTATGTGACAAAATGACCGGGGAGGTTTCCAGAATAAACTTTTCATGATCATCTCAGGGGGAGAATTTGAGCAGAGAAGCATCTACTGTAAATGTTGCTTCACTTTGTTTATTTCTGTTTAGTAACCTGAGACATTAGTAAATAGATCCTAATGTATCGATATTAGATTAGCAACTCAGAAATTCTCTAGACCCCAAAACTATTTCATGTCAAAAACAAATCTTTGTTTCTGCTTTATTATAAATGAAATGCTGAGCAATTAATGTTCTGATATTAAATACATGTCAATGTTATCCCTCTATGAAATTCTGGTCATAAGGTATGACCAAAAATGTAAAGCTGTATGTCATCAGCAAATAAGTGATAAATATACTCTATAACCTGAACCGGAGATAGCATATGATACTGAATAAAAATGGTCTAAGAATGGAGCCTTGATGAGCTCCACATCTGTTCCTTGTTCATTCAGGTTTATAACACAAAGCAGCCTCAGTCTTGTTAATCTAAACAACACCACTTACTTTCTGAGGTAGTCAGCCAGGATGTTTTGCTTAACCATGTTTAGGTCCTAAATACAGCAACACATAAGCTTTAGATGCATGCATTTTAGATATATCTCATTTAAAACCAAACCTTACCTGTGTAGTCTGAATGCCTAAGTGTAGTCAAAAACATGACTGGAAAGAAGTGAAGAGAATACATTTGTTGATAAAAAAAATGAAATGTTAGGCTAGAAATGGAAGTGTAATTATGATTATCATTATGAGTATCATCACATCTCTTTGATTTGAAGGTAACCTTTTACCAAGGTTACGATGGAGGAAGAAGTGCAAGTTTTGTGGCAAGTGCAAAGTCAACAGTCACATGATGGAAATGTAAAATGCCAATTTAGGTAAATAGTTTATAGTCTAAAATATGTTAAATAAAAGTTAAATAACATTTAATAATGTATTTTGCATCGCAATTTTGAATAATATTCGACTTAATATTAGTATTTATAAATCTCAATTTAGGATTATCAAGACCTGCAGAAACCCTGCTGCACATTTCTCATACATATGCAATAGCTAACCTGGAAAATAATTTTAATTTACCACACGCCCCTGATAGTGGGAATCACTTCCCTACAGAGCTCTGCTCTGGCTAACAGACATTGTAAATACAGCTCACATGCATGGAAGAAAACACATTTAATGTTTGTTTTTGCATTTTGCTGGTGCATACTTTACTATTTACAGACATTAAAAAGTCATTACCAGTGCGGTTTCACTGACAGACATTTTAATTTAATGTAGTGCATTCATTTGGAATAATAGGTCTTTGTTATTTTACTGCAGGACTTGATGGTATTGATGTATTTAATTTGATTGATTGAGTTGATTTGTTATCTTATTTATATACTTGTAATCTTTTTTGTACATTTCTTTCTATATATAGGGTTGCCTTTTTGCAACAACAAACTGAATTTGAACTTAATAATTATGTTTACACAAATGTGTAAGATGATCTTGAGTGTGTGGGTATTTTTACTTCCTTTTACTTCTTAATAACAACCGGGCCTATCCTTGTGGACACTGTCCACAGCAGCAGGGATGGATATCTCATCGCTCTGTCATGTATGTCAATTGAGTTTGACATTTTGCCAAAATTATTGTCACCTTCCAGAGTAACTACAAGGGTTAATGGCTGCAGCTTTGACAGCGCATGCTAACAGGGTTCAAAATCCGTCCCTGCTGAAGCACACCAACCACACTCGAAACACTTTAAAAGAAACTGACCCACAATGTCTCTGTACAAAACCAGAGGGCAGGGTGTGTAAGCTGGAAAAAACTGTGAAAAATAAATGCAGTGCGTACGGACACCTCTGATGTTTGAAGAGTAGCGTACACTGAAGCGGCTCCCCAGCTGCCAGCACTGTTTCTGCACTTACCCACTGAGTTTGTTTCTCTCTTTTGTAAAAGAAAAAAAAAATAATAATGAACTATGTGAAGTTGGACTGAGGTGATGCTTTGACAGCAAGAGACAGAGAAGATTGGTGAGCACAGATCGGCAGTCTCTGCATCAATGCCTCTGATCAGAAAAAAATCTAAAAAAGGAAAAATAACATCTGCTGAGTGAATGGAAGCCTCAGACAGGAGGGAGTGACAATCACAGACTGCTCTACTTTCTCTCTCTTATTCAAGTGACCTACTGTATGATAGATTATTCAACCAATTTTTCCTCTTCTATGCTGCCTATACTGTATGTGATAGTCTTAAACTCTGGTCCTTAGAAGTGCTACTTTTTTTCCTTTGCTTTCTTATTTTGTAATATAACAGCAAGAGGAATGAACACGAATTGGTGTAAAAATGTGAATAAGCTGCTGGAAGAAATAACCATTGTTAACTGCTGTGTCCCAGACTGTGTCTGTGTTTAGAGATCTGTTCTACTTCTTCATGTTTGAAGCAGAGGGCTGCAAGTTGGGTAGGTTGAATATGACATTCAGTGGCCCCAGGGATGCTGAACGACTTTTGATTATTCGGTTTTAGTATCTGTCTGTGTGTTCGTGTGTGTAAAGGGCTGACTGATTTGCAGCATTCAGACCAAATCCAAGCTCAAATGTAATTACACTCAACAGAGGAAGCAAACATTGATTTATAGTTAGTCTATGCCAGTTTTATGATAGATGACTGGAACTTGTCATGTAGAAACATGGTTGGTTTTATGGCAGCTACAATTAATAGAATCAATCAATTGCTTCATTTATAACAACAAGCAAACAGCCTTTTTGCCTATCAGCAATACCGACAGAAAACTCCTCTTCCTTGTCTCCTCACTTGACTGTATTTTTGGCCAGAGTCACATATTTCAAATACAGTGCACGCACATATCAAGTTTGGAAATGTTTTGATCCATATCACATTTATTATAACCACACCCTACTCTCTCTGTCACAACCTTAACTTCAGACTTTGATCTAATCGGGTTGAAATATTGCAAAGGTCATCTCCGAGATTACTTTTGTGCTTGGATGCTCTGAAGCACCTAGAAGAATGTAATGCATAAAAACTGCTTCTTAGGAAAAGGGAAAATTCAAACTGTGCTTCTTAAAGTGTCTTTTCTTTTTTCTTTTGTTCTTTACTTTAATTTTTTTTTCTATTCTGTATCCACAGCGACATGTGTTTGAAGAGTTTAGGGTTTATTAGGCACAACTTCAAGTTAAAAAGACTTTTAACAAATAAAAATATAAGGAATGTAGCAGCCCAAATATTCACGTGTGGGTCATGCGTTATATTTTACATGGCATACAGAAAATATCCATATCACCCATTTGTGCCATGTTGGTGAACACACACACAAACACACAATAAACAGAACCTGGATGGTTGCGTAGATGTCAGATGGAAAACCTAATATAGTATTTAGTCATGATGGTGATGATGATAATGTGACTTGTTTTCTGAAGGTGGACCAGTCTGTTGTGATACTATGTAATTAATAAAAAGTGTTATGTCACATCAAGAATCCTGCATTTGAATGATTAAGTTTGTGCCTGGTGGTGGTTGGGGAATCTATAAAAGTAATTTCTAAGGAGACTGACTGTAGAAGGGTCAGATATAAACAGGCTCTATAATAACGGGGACTGAAAGCAGTAACCTAATAGCTGTGTAAGGTGTGTAAAACACAGTTCTTGCCAGTAAATACCCTGATTTTGATTAAAATTATTTTAAATTGATTAAAAGGTGTTTTTTTATTGGCAGGATTATGATGCAACATATTATATTATCTTTCACAGTTTTATACCTACTTATATAAGGATAAATATACCTTAGAAAGCTGAAATCCATCCATGACTGACTAGAGGTGAGGTCAGATATTCCCCCAGACAATGCCAGGACCTACAGTAGTCCATCACTACAGCGGGTAGAGCTCAGATAATATAGTTTCTCTCCAAATTAAAAGACATGTATATATTTATATATTTGGTTGCATTTGAGCCTGTATGTATAGTTTGACCATGTATAAACAAGAACAATATCCCCAAGAAATACAGCTTTGAAAAAGAACAATTCAAATAGAGAATGTGTGTCAACAGACGAAGGAAACGTCATCTGGTTTTTGTGTGCACACAAACACACATAACATAATCAAGTCAAAGTTAAATCTTCCTTTTCCAGTCATAATATGAATTCTGTGTCTTTAAAGAATAGGACTTGCTGGGTTTGTAAATTAGGATCAGGCTGAGGAACTGTACAAGTAAACTGAACAAGAGGTTTTGTCCAAACCCCAGATGCAATTAAGCAAGTGCTGAATTAATATGTTCCTATTACACAAAGCTCTGCATTTTTTTGTGAAGGAAAATAAATGCTTAAAAGAAAATGAATGCCTATTCTATATTTATATTGGTGTCAGCATATAAATGGAAAGAATGTAAATGCCAAAACTAGAAACTCAGCAAACACTGAATGTAAGAAAAGAATGATTCTAAGTACTCTTCTTCCAGCAGAGTGGAAAATGCATGCCCTCAGCTCTTTAGTGGCATAAATAAAACCTTTTATCAATGGTTAGACCCCCAAACATCCATGAAGGTAAAATAATTGCTGCAAGGACATCTATGAAGAGAAGAACCGGTGCCAGGTTTGTAAGACACAAAGCTTTTTTTTATTCTGGCACATTATTAAATTCTGCTTAATGTCTTTGTCACAAAGCTTTTCCTTTTTCAGCCCTTGCGGCAATACTATTACACTGTTGACCTCAATTAAAAGTGAATTTCTAAAGGCAGTTATGGTCTAATATTAAATTTCCCGAGGACAAGAAGGTTCTACATACAGAATTTGAATATTTTCCCAAGGCAAATTTAACCAATTAGAACTATTTTAGATATGTTCAAAGTATCTTAATATATAAATATGCCTTTTGTCAGTTTGTTTTTTACCTGTTTATTTTTTTTAAGGTAAAAGACTATCCTTTTGTTTTATTTTAATATTCAAATCTTTAATTATTGGATATCTTATCCACATTACTCTTGCTTTATAATTCAACAGCTTGATTTTTATTAAAATGTTATGAGGCTATTTGCTTTTTGTTAACATATATATTCCTACGTCTTTACTTACTGCATGAAGTGGTGAGCAAAATGGGTTTTTGTAAGTTTCATTTCATTAAATCAAGAAAACATTGATAAAGTTGTGGAGACAGAAATATGCCACAAGTAATGGCAATATTTTTAGATCCCTTGATTAAGTTAAGGTATAAAAACTCGGTATTTAAACTTTTAAGCGTGTAGGGTGGGGGTTAAAATGTTTAAGCCATCTCAGTTTTAGGGCTCTTTTTCTGTTTTTCCATCTCCCTTAATCCTTAACACAAAGTTCACATTATCAACTACAATATGGCTTATTTTCATTTTTGTGATCAAAAATCTTACATTTTGGAAGCAACTCCAGGATTAGTTTGACATTAATGACCTTAAACCAAGATATTTCTAGTGTTATGAAAATGTTGGTTGATAAATTTGAGGGGCTTAATTATCTTATCTAAGTAACAAAAACATGTTATTCTTCTTAATTACTGAAATTTATTTGTAAACTAGTTAATTATGTCAACAAAATATAATAACAAAAATGCACCCAGTAATCTTTTTTTTAAGTTTTTATGTATCTTTGTATATGTCTAGTTGTAGTATCACTGCTTCATACCCCCCATTCAGTATCATTCAGCGTCAAACATTAACCACCCATCCTTCAGCAGGCTGAAGGTCGAAACTTCAAACAGTCTTGAATGAGGCATATTTTACTATAGGGGCTGTAATTGCTTCTGTTTAGAAGCCTAAAGGTAATCTGTATTGAGCCACTTATCATTAGAGTGTCAAAAGACAGTAGTACACTACCACTTAAATTATAAGCTTAAAGACAGCCTTGTCTCAGGACAAACGTTCATGAACTCCAGCAGAACCTCATTATGGAAAAGAGACCTTTGCAAGGACTTTGCTGGCAGGGATCCCACATTCAGTTTTAAACCATAGATGCCTTACTACAGTAGTCACATCTTGTTACTCCTCGGTGAAGAATTCTAATGGCCTTTATGGAAAGTTTATCCAGTGAACCAAAACAAACTAGTCATAGGTTTAAAAAACAAAGGAGATATTGGGCTTAAGGCAAGATTTAAACAGATTATTGTATACAGTGCACACAAATTTCTCTCAGTTTATCTAATAAGAAACCGAATAATATCTTAGTTTGTAGTTGTAATTTCATGAAACAATTCAAAGAGCATATCACCTGGTTAAAAAAAAAATACAATAATAATACTTTTGAAGTGAAAGAGGTTGAACATTTGTTCTGCTGTGATTTTACTGCTTCTTAAAGAAAATGGTTCTTTATTCAGAAATGAATCTGGTCTCATTTATACCTTGAGCAGAAAGTGATTTAAATGCACCTCAATAAAATACTCCTTGTCATGTTCATTAAAGAAAGCTTATCGAAATGATGTTGAGACCTTCAGGAAATATTTCAGTAAGGGGCTTTATTTAGCCACAAATCTCGAATGCTCTCTAAGCAACGTTTGTCCCATTCCTCAGTTTTAGCTGTGACATCTTGGAAGGGTTTTTTGCATATCAGTGAGACCAGGTTTCCTGCAGTAATGCATCTGCTTACGATGACATCTCCATATCTACGTATGTTTCACAGTTGGTTTGAGTTTCATCAATTTGAATGTTTTTATTGGTTTATGCTAAAGATTTTCTCTGCACTGTGTCAAAATAATTTAGTCTCAGATTAACTCAGGACAGTAAATTAACTAATTTCATATTATTCTAAGATCAGATTAAATTCATATTAATTTACTACAACAATCTTCTTTTCGAAGGCTTGATATTGCCAACATTTGTCTTAATTTTAGACAATAACATACCAAACTTTGCTACATCTGGTGTTTTTATAGATTTTATGCTGCCTTTAAAACATTCTTCCAAAATTTCAACAATGGTTTCATCATTTGCATCTGCTGGTTATGCATTCATGTGGTTTTAGCTATTTTGAAAAGGAGTTTATTGTTTCATTTATTCCTCAGCTGACATAGATTTTTTCTGCTACATTTCATTTTACAAAGGGCATTTTAGAAGTATTCACTTTTATTGTTTATTCTTTGTGAGCATTGTTCAATTTATTGTGAAATATCTATGTGTCCAAGTATATAAAAACTGAAGTTTTCATGTCTTTTTTACATTGTCGTTATTAGGCATTGTTCAGGACATTCCATTGCATTAAAATTTTTGGGGATCAAAAGAATGACAGGTAGATAAACAATAAATGTTTTTAGATTAGGTTAAAACTTGTTCCTCTAAAATCAACATGCAAGAGTCCTTATTGTCCTTATTTTAGCATATTCACATTACACAAAGCCAAGCTCAAAACGCATCTATGGTTCATAGATACAAATGAAAAACAATTTCTGGAGAAATGAAGAATCGGCTACCTTAGAGGAGACTTCTAAAATGTAGAAATAAGAAAATATTACGTACATGAAATGAGACATATAGTGTTAAGTATTAAGATAAAGTATTTAGATGTTTATCTTGTTTAGGATTAGGCTTAAAACTCTCCTTTTTGATAAAGCTTATATTCAGAGTACGTTGGGTTATCCTGTGCTATCTCTAGTTATGCTACTATAGGCTTAGGCTGCTGGAGGGTGTAGGGACTACTTTTCAACATTCTACTTCCTTCTATTTCTATTCTCCAATTCTGCAGTATTTGTTAGTTAAACCCCTAACTGTATGTGCTCTCTTTCATCCCTTTGACATGAAGGCTGGCTCAGTGCTTGTCTGCTTAATGTTAATTTTTCCAATTAAAAAATAAAGCAATACCTGAAATGTGCATTTAGCTTAGAAATATTCTAAACAAAACTGGGCTAAGGATTTTGGATAGAGAATGTTACCTCTTCTTGTTACCCCTGTTACATCTTCTTTGCTTGTAGCTGTTGTTTTTTTCTTATGGCTCCTTAAGAAGCAATGGCCAAACAGAAGGGGTAATACTTTGCCATAGAAGCAAACACAAACAATCACCTGGAATAACTTAAATCAAAGTGTTTCCAGTTAAGTACGTAAAATCTGCTCAGATGATTCATCACCAAAGAGACTATATCTCTGGAAAGACACCATCTCATCTTTTTTCATCACCTTCAAGCCAAGGAAATACTGAGAACAAAGTATATGATAAAGTATTGCACATCAAAGCCTTGGTAATGCTGTTGCTAGTGCCTTCTATCGCACGTAAGCTCCCAAAAGACCTGAAATCAGCAGGAAAGATATGCATCTTAATTACAAAAACACTGCCACAAAACAGAGCAGTGGTTTAGAGAGAGCACAGACGAGGCATGCCAGAGCTGCTTTGTAATAAGAGCGACCAATTAGAGATGTTAAAGGAGTGACAAGTACTCATTAGTGGTTTATCCCTCACCACTGCACCTGCATGGTGACATCATGCCTGCACATGGAGGATAATTAGAATGAATGTGTTCCTGCTAAAATA